TATATATATATAAACCCATTTTGTTTTGGGCTTGATGTTTATTGGGCTTTTTTAATTATATGATAGATACAACAGGCTAAAGTATCTTCTATCACCACTGATCATATGTTTAACATACTCTCATCCCTTCCTTGCACATATCACTGGCACAATCTGAGTAAAAAGAATTAAGTGTGCTTCATTCCTTTCCTGAGACTTGTGAGTTTGTCAGTATGGAATCATCTGTATAAATACATACTTGACTTAATTTTTATCCATTTATTTCAGAAGAAAATCTAAAGCACCGCCTCCTCCATCTGAAACGAAACTGGTTTCTGTTTCTTCATTTGATGATACAGCATCAGCCAATCCCATCATGGAACAGAAAGAAAATGTAATCGATAAAGATATTGAACTGTCAGTGGTCCTGCCAGGAGATGTGATCAAGTATACTACAGTTAACGGGAGGTAAGTTACAATGACACATTAATTTTCTTTTCTTTTCTCTAGTTTACTTCAGCCTTCATCCAGGTCTTAATCATGTGCTGGTTTTGACTGGAACAGAATTAATTTTCTTCATCGTAGCTAGCATGGGGCTATGTTTTAGATTTGCACTGGAAACAGTGTTGATAATTCAAGGACATTTTAGTTACTACTGAGCAGTGCTTGCACAGAGTCAAGGCCTTTTCTGCTGCCACACCACCAGGAAGTAGGCTGGGGAGGCACAAGGAATTGGGAGGGGACACAGCCGGGACAGTTGCTCCCAACTGACCAAACGGATATTCCATAGACATGCTCAGCAATATAACTTGGGGGAAGGTAGGCCAGGTGCCACAGCTTGGGGATGGGTTGGGCATCGGTCGGTTGGTGGTTCATTTGCATCACTTGTCTTTCTTGGATTTTACTTCTCTCTGTTATTTTCCTTTTCATTACAATTTATTATTTTTTAAAACTTTCTTTTATTTCAATGATTAAACTGTTCTTATGTCAATCCATGAGTTTTCTCACTTTTACCCTTCCAGTTCTTTTCCTTGTGTCCTACTGGGGATGGGGAGTGAGCGATGGGCTGTATGGTGCTTAGTTGACAGCTGGGGTTAAACCATGAAAAATCACTCAGTAAAATACATGAATATTTTATGCCAGAGTATTGAGTGTGTCCAAATAAGAGCAGCAAAGCTGGTGAAGGGGGTTAGAGACAAGTCTTATGAGGAGCAGCTGAGGAAACTGGAGTTGTCTAGTCTGGACAAAAGGAGGCTCAGGGGAGACCTTACCACTCTCTACAACTACCTGAAAGGAGGTTGTAGCGAGATGGCTATCGATCTCTTTTCCCAGGTAACAAGTGACAAAACAAGAGGAAATGGCCTCAGTTTGTGACAGGAGAGGTTAAGATTGGATATTAGGAAATTTTTTTTTCACTGAAAGGTTTATCTGTCATTGGAACAGGCTGCCCAGGGAAGTGCTGGAGTCCCCATCCCTGGAGGTGTTTAAAAGATGTGTAGATGTGTCACATGGCTTAGTTGTTGACTTGATAGTGATAGGTTAATGATTGGACTTGATCTTAAAGGTCTTTTCCAACCTAAATTATTCTGTGATTCTACTATGATTTTTGGGTAGGTGTGGAAACATATACTTGCCTGCCTTCTGGGAAGACTGGTTTTTAAGATTCAGAAATTCTGTATGGCACCTGTCAGCACGTGTACCCATACCTATTGTTCTTTGTAGTCACTGCAAATCTTTAGAAAAATGCTGGTTTGTATGAGTCACTGAATTTTCCCACGTAAGTTTACCGTGTTAAACTTAAAGGTGAGTTCCTCCATCCTACTCGGGTACAAAGTCCTGTGTTCAGCACTTGCTTAGCACTGCTAGCAGTCCTAAAGAAAGTATAATCACTTCAGACAAAATCTATAATGCTCCGAAGAAACAGTTTCTAGCTACAGCTTTAGAAATACTTGTTTTTTAAAACAAATATATTTTGCTTAAGCTGGTTTTAATTTGAAATACATATTTCAGCCTGCTGATTGGTACTGTAGATTGTGCATATAACTCTCAAGTCACCTTTAGTTAAGAAAGACCTCGACATTGACTGGTGAGTTGAAATCATAAATCCTGGGACTTAAAATGTTATGTTAATTATCGTAGCAGCTCTACAAAGAAGGCTCCTGTGCAAAACCTGATATGAATCAGAGCAGTTAGGGTGCCAGTTTGTTGCTTTCCTAAGTTGAAATAAAGCATTTTTGTGTATTGTGCTTGTTGTGGTGTATTATTAGCGACTGTCTTTGCTACTGAAAGCAAGCAGACAGATTTTATGTAATTACTTATTTATTTATACATACATACATCCCAGATAAGGTAAACATTTACAGTACTTACACCTATTTCACCTTTTAACAGGAGATAAAGACTTCTGTGGCTTGAGTCTGTTTGCACACTTTGTCATTTGCTGGAGTTCATGAGGTCGTTGCTTAGACATCAAATACCATTTTGTTCACCAGAGCTGCAATGGATGATGTTTTATGATTTTCTTCCCCATCCCCAGACTCCATGGGATTTTCAGGATAACTTAAATCTGAGGTTATATTTATCAGAATAAATTTTCTGAAGTAATTGGTGACTACTGTGATGCTTTATGGTGTTCTTGCTAGCTTGTTTACAGCAGGGAGTATTGTTGTCTGTAATACAGTGCCTTCCTCTGTTTTAAAAATTTCTTAAAGGTGAGAATCCATGTGTACACTGTCAGGCTTTTCTCTTTCTTCATCTTCTCTTTTTCACTCCCTTTGTCTACACTTATGAGTACCGTGTGCCCTCTGTCTTGCTTTGCTCAGAACAAAGTGCCTGCCAGGAATGTTGCATATAGCTTCACTCAGTCACACTGTGTATAATTCCTCAGTGATCAAGACAGGCCTCGCAGGCTTATCGGGAAACACACACATTTCTCCAGTTAGTTTTATTATCCCACAGTTAGTGGTGGTTTTTTTTTTCTTTTCAATCAAGATACCGTATGTGATTGATTTCACAAATCACTCTCCTGCGAACATGAACCTGTGTTAGCACTGTTAGGCTCACTCAGAAGGAGGGGAGGCACTGTTCAGGACCTGCAGTCCACTCTGAAACATCCTTCAAACTACCTTTTATTCTAGATTTGCTGTGTCTTGATAGTCGTATTTGTGGACAAGCTGCCTTTAGAAATTATACAAACAAGTAATTGCTAATCTGTCTCCTTCCTGTTCATGATCAGAGATGAGCAGCTTCAAAACTCTTGAGGAGAAAATATGTTTTTAAAATTTCATATTAAAACAAGCGAAACTGTGACTTTGTACAGCTGTGTATTCAAATGCCATAGTCCACTGGAATAAACTTTTGTGCTGTTCTCCAATGAAGTTGGGTTGGTTTGCTCCCTGCTTTGTCACAGCGGATGGCAAGAGCTATGTAGAACAAAGCAAAATGTTACATAGGTAAATACCCTGAGTGAGTAAAAGTAGACAGAAGAGGATCCTTGAGTTGTTTTGTGGGCTACTAAAGCAAAAAACTTAGAGACTGAGAAAAGTAAGAACTCATTTTGAAACTTCAGGTGTGGGTATATTCTCTTACTTAAGCCTAAACACTAATTTGTATTTTGTCATAGTTAATGACAGTGATTCTGTTCCCAGTCTGATAGTGAAGTCCTGCAGGAGAGGCCAGGCAAACAATTCTTTAAAAACAACCAACCCCCCACCCTCCAAAAAAACCCAACAAACCAAAGATGGTAAAAGCAGTACGTGGTAGAAGTGAAGGTACACTCTTCACGGGAAGAGTGAGTGAAGCTTTTTATTTTTCTTATTTTAATTGGAATGTTTTTCAGAGTAAAGTTTCTGAATCTTCTCCGTTGATCTAAATACAACATGGGACTGCGGAATTTTCTGCAGCCAAACAAGAAAAAAAAACCCAACTAACTATTTCATTTAGCAGCCTGATTATTTTACGTTAGTTTTTGGTTTTCCCACAAGGAAAAAATGCAGAGTTTTGACAAAGTTTTCTTGAAACTGAATAATTATTTTCAGTTGTATGAATCAGTAAATTAACTTAGAGATTTCAAGGGCAAATAGGATAGTGACATGCTTTTTATTTGGAAATGGTGTGTTAAACAAACAGTTTTGCAGGGTAGCATGTTTAGTTCTGCGGTTTCAGACGCCTTTCAGAGAGATTTTTGCTTTGCTGTTTGCTGAATTTGTTTTCTTAGAGCCCTTTGTGAGTTTCTATTTGATCCGTTCTTGAGTATTTTCAGTCATTAGGGTATTCTTAATCAACTGTTGGTTTACTCCGTATAGCTAGTGAATAACAACCTTTGTAGTGTTGCCCTACTTTTCAAAACCTATTGTACTTACATTTGTTAGTTAGAAATTCTGGTGGTTTTGGTGGGTTTTTGTTGTTCTCCATAGAAAAAAAGTCTTTCTCCCTTTAGAGAATAGGATTAGTAAATATTTTGCTAGAAAGGCCATGAAGCTATAGACTTAAGTAATGAGAGAAAGCCAAACTGTGTGTAGGTTTCTGTTTTGTTTTGGTTTCCTTTTTTGTTCCTTTTCCCATTACTTCCCCTACACAGGAATACTTTTGGTGGTTACTGAGTTGTTTGTTTAGTGGTGCTTGCTGTGATACTGTGACTCCATGATGGGAAGATCTTGTTCCTAAAGTTTGATTGTGTAAGAATCTACACTTTTTTTTTTTTTAAAAATAGCAACTTTCTAGCCCTTGTTTATGCAGAGGAGCGTAGAAACTTGATGTGTTTTAAACACCTGATCCAGTATTTGAAGTGGCACCTTTCACTGTTGATTACAAATACATTCTAAGTGAGGGTCATAGTTTAACTATCGGTTATGTGATGTAGCGAGAGGCTGCTGTTAGCCACGTTGTTACTTAGTCAGGTAGGAATATGCAGAGGAATACAGAGGAGACATGAAGGGGTGCAGGAATTTGTAGATAAATTTATGACTAGAGATTTCCAGAAAACTAAGTAATATAATGAAGTTGAAGTTGCAAATAAAGATTTTTACTGAAATTAGATCAAGGGCAAGCAGATGATGTACTCTAAGACAGCTGATGGCCACTTCTTCAAGTTTTAGTAAATATTGTTTAGGGAAGCAGTTAAATTTACTGTCATATATGTGTTCCTCTACCTGCAATCCTTGAAGGTGTTAGCAAAAAGGAGTTTTACAGGTTTTGGAGGATGTGATGACAAAAAAAGATTGTTTTATGTGTCACTGTAGGAATATCTGTCTAAAGCAGTTGTTGAAGGTGTCTTGGCCTCCAGTGGAGGTGGGTACTTAAAGTATAGCATCCTCCAGTCAAGCAGGTCATTTCTGGAAGTACCACTGGAAGACAAATTTGCACTGAAGCACTGTTTTCATGTACTAATTTGCATGTACCTGTCTGTTGTTCGTGAGCAGCTGTGTTTCTCACTTATTGTTCTGTCACTTGTGGCTCTGGTTAGCATGAGGGCTTGCCCCTGTCATGGTGGTGCATTTCTGTAGGATGGCTCTTTGTGATCTCTGCTTGTGAATTCTCGACCCGGTCGTCTTCAGTGTTCTTACCCTTCTCCAATAACCGAAGGCCAGAGCAAGGGCAGCTTTTAAAGCTAGTCGGTGTATAAAAATGCACCAGAAAAAAAGTAATGGGTAACTTATTGGGTAGGCTGACAACCAGAAAGGTCACCACAGAAGTAGTGTCTGCTGTCTCCTTTGACTTCCTCCTCTCCTCCCTTGCCCTGCCTTCAGGGAAATAGGGGAATGACACGATTTGCATTTGCAGCCCTTTTCTTATTAGGGTGAGATGGATGTACTTGTTCTATTTTGGATTTAGAAGAACAAGAAATAGAGTAATTCCTTCTTTCTTCTGATTGGAGCAGGTTGTGATCTATATGCGAGAGAAGAATTGAAATAAACGCACTGGTTTAGCTGTGTGTAAAGGGAGGAATAGTTCTTTTTCTGCAGTGCTCAATGCATTTCTCATTGTATTCCTCAGGCTGATATATATCATCTAGAGAAAGGCATGGGAGTATATTACATTCTCTATACCTCTTCAGACCATCTGATACCTGCTTTTTGACACCTTGGAGCGTAATTTCTTTGTTTTTTTGGTTTTATTGTTCCTCCTCCCTTTGTCTCCTAAGGCAAGTATTCTGCTACTTAAGCAGTCAGAAACTTTCCTCTGAGGAGAAAAATTAAAAGTAACAGGTCTGCAGCTTTCAAACTGTTTCTGTCTTCTGGAAGTGCAGCATGTGCACCAGAGTCCAGCTCTGTTTCTTGAAATTAGAAGACAGTTTGCTTAAGGTATACTTGTTCTTCAAGACTTAGTGAAAATAATGATATTAAAGTTAATAGAAGTGTGTGTGAGGGGGAAACAGTATTCACAGTAATTTATAACATTGACTCCTTCTTAATTCTTTTTGCGAAACTGTATAATATGAAAAGTCTGTTTTAACTTCTTACTTAATAAATGTATTCATGATCTTTATATTACCTAGAATTCTGCTTAGCTTGATGGCATTTTGTGGAAACTATCTATTTCCACATTTGGCTACGCTACCAGAATCTGTTATGAGATTACATCTAGAATTTAAGATTTCTGATAAAGCCATACTAGCCAAATGCTATATTAATTTCCTCTTAGACATTTCAGTGTTCTTTTCAACATAGCATTTAATTGCTTTGGACTTTTAAATTATTTTCATAGTGTCCTTGTGAGACAGAGCAGATGATAGATTTCCTTGATTGTAACTTGAGAGATGCAGAGAGCGTCAAAATGAAATGCTACTTACAGCTGATTACCCAACTCTAAAACCTACTGAGGGCTGACCAGTTCCAGTGACCTGATAGTGTTATAACCTTATTCTGTTGCTGTAATATGCAAAACCCCTCAAAGAAACCCAATACATCTCCTTTGTCTTTGGTCTATTTAAACTTCTATGATGCTTCTGTTTAAAGTACAGCTATAAATTTATTCCAGTAGCAACTGGGAATGTTCAGCCTATTTTAATACACTGTTCTGCATGTTCTTCATTGAGCACTGAGAGAACAAGTACATCCAGTTTGTTACTACATATGAAAAATTCGGTTTGCCATACTTCATTGTGATAAGGACATCTGTTGTGTCACACAGAGCTTCTCAAGAAATGGCATTCAACTATTGTATCATCACTTAGCTTCTTTCCCTCTGTCTGTATTAAATGCCTGGCTGTCATTTTGGGATCCCTAATGCAAGACCTCCTTAAATGGTGATTTCCTCAAACTTCAATTCTTCTGCTTCCTTCAAATAGCTCATGCTCAGAATTTCTGAAAGTGAAGTCCCTTGTAACCTCAGAATGGATACAGAAATTTCAAACTTTAGAAGGAAACTGTTCTTAATGAATAGCACAACATTTGTCACCACTGCTACAGTTCCCGTTAAATGCCAAATGAGGTGGCTAATCCATATCTCCCTGCTGACATTGGGAAAAGCATTGCTTCATACAGGCAAAAATTTTCTCCTTTGCTCAAGCACTTGACATACTTCTGTGCAAGCTGGTTTCATTTTCTTTGTAGTGATTTTTTTTTTGGCTTTTTTTTTATGTTGAAGGTATTTAAGGTAGGTGCCTGGCAGTAATTACTTAGTCATGGAAGGGAAAGGATGACTTGGGTTAAATGTTTAGCAGCATGTTTTGTTATAGACTGCTTAATTGTCATCTGTTGTGATAGTTCCGTTTGTTTTTCACAGGAAGCCCATGATGGACTTGCTGATCTTTCTCTGTGCACAGTATCACTTAAATCCATCAAGTTATACTATAGAGTTGGTATCAGCAGAAAATAGCCAGATAAAATTCAAACCTAACACACCAGTAGGAATGCTTGAAGTGGAAAAGGTGATCCTAAAGCCAAAACAAATTGATAAGAAGAAACCTGCTCCTGTTATACCAGAGGTGAGAAATTAGAATCTCTGCTGTGCTCAAGAAGTTGAGCAGGTAGCTAAGCCTCTTCTTTCAGCTTTTTCTGTTGTCTCTCATCCTCTCACCATATACCCCTGTGAAATGCCATGTTCCTGATAACCTCCTCATAGGTAAAATACATCTCGGTTTGTTGCAGCAAACATCTTTGCTGCCGGAAGAAGGAAATATTTACAATATTATTTGAAGTCTCATGCCTTACTGTCCTTTTGGCAAATCCTGCAGATGAAGCGTGGCTGAATACAGCCTTCCGCAAACTGAAATGCAACAACTCGTACCGTCTGTCATGCTGTGATATATATGTCCTTCAGTTTGTATTTTCATTTTCCTTTAATACGTACTGTATCTTTTTGCTGTTATTCAACTTTTTAATGTACCTTAAGAAGACGAAAGCTTTTAGAAGTGCTAAAGCAACTTCCGGGTATTGTTTAATTCTTTCTCCCGACTTGTCTGCAATATAGAAAAATACTGGCGCATGCCGAAGGAGGAGCAGACTGGTTCATATGTTCTTTTATTGAGTATAAGGGAATTGTAAATCAGTTAGTTATTAGTTTCTCTTGTAATGTTACTCAATCTATAACATTGGTGAAATTGGCCATAGGGGAATTTCTGTGATTACCGTGAAGCTGTTATAAAAAGAGCAGTTGTTTCAGAATTTGTGCTGGTATTTATGGAAACTTTCTTCTCTTTAGCAAACAGTAAGGGTAGTGATAAACTACAAGAAGACACAGAAGACTGTAGTAAGAGTTAGTCCGCATTCACCCCTTCAAGAGCTCATACCAACTATCTGTAGTAAATGTGAGTTTGATCCCTCACACACTCTGCTGTTGAAGAACTACCAGTCTCAAGAACCCCTTGATGTGACAAAATCTCTTAATGACCTTGGACTAAGGGAACTGTATGCCATGGATATCAGTCGAGGTAAGATGACTTTTGTAAGTTGCAGTTACGTAAAAGACAATAACTTAGTATTTCAATAATGAATATATTTTGTTGTTGGGGCTTTTTTTTAACTTATGAGGAAATAATTTCTACCAATTTAGTATATATTTCATCAAATCAAAACTGAGACAAATCTACCTGTACTTACGTTTGAGAAGTGCTATATAAAGGTTTTATTTTCTAACAAAGTGTTAGGTAACAGCAAAGGTCGCTAGATACAAATCGTCACATAAAAGCAACCTCTTTCTTTCCTTCCCCCCAAAAACCAACAACACGGCATTTCCCTTAGCTCCCAGAAAAGACAGAATCATTATGAACTGAAAAGAACAGAATCATTAGAGAAATACAGTTTTGTTTTAACTTATTTAAGATTTAAAAAGTGTTAGAATATTCTGATGGTGTTTGTGTGTTTCTGAGTGCTGTTTGCTGATTTTTTAGATTGTGAAGAAATAATACTTCTTTTTAATTGTGGTCCGACAGAGAGGCACTGTGAGCTAACTTTTTTACCGTTTACATTTTTTACATTCCTATACCTGGCTTTAACTTCAGCTGTAAGCCTGTCTTTTTCATGAAGAGTTCATTGTGCTATGATTAAAAACTCTGTACAGTGTGGCTTGTTCTGTTTCAGACATTTCTCACAGGAAATTTTACCTCAATATAGAATGCAGTAATATTGGCTCATTCCTGTTCGTGACCACTGTTCTATTTGCTTCTTTTTCTTTCTGCTCTAAAACTTGGGGGGTTTTGTTGGGTTTCTTGTTTGAGTCTTTCTTCTCTTCTTCAAATATGGTAACCTTATCCTTTGGTGGCTATGGTTTCAAGAGTTCTCTCAATTGCTTCCCAAAGGTCAGTTATCGTGAAGAACGGGAGAATGACAGATTTTTTTATTTTTACTTGCCTAAACATGTCACTTGGACTACATGTGCCCATAGTGCATTTTGTTTATTGTCTGGCTACTGCTTTCATCTGCAGACTGGCAGAGCTGCCTTTTGCACAGTATGATGTGTGCTTTGTTTGAATCAACAGCAAAAAATCCTTAGGAGGCAATACGAGGGCATATACACTTTCTACAAGGCAATGCCTCACCAGAAAATTTAGATATTACTTCAGTTCTCTTGGCACAAAGTTCAGCATTCCGATTTTGCAGACAACTTCAGAGCTCTGAATTTTCAGGTTTCTCTGTGAAAGTAAATGGTGTGGTATACATTTACTTAATAGAAATTCAATTCAAATCTTACTTTTTCCAGATGATATTTTAGTTATGCATCCCTCTGTCTTCCAAGTTTGGACTGCCTGAAAAACCAAAACTTACAGAGCAAACTGTTCTATATACTAGTTTTCATCTTTGCTTCAGAAATATAAGTGAATGCTCTCTCCTTATTCTCAAGGTTCTGGTCTGTGTTGCATGTCTTCAGGCTCAAGTTCTTAAATGGCTTATAGCGTTAGGTAGTGAAGATACACATCTTTTTACTTCAGTGAAGTACACAGTTACTCTTTCCTACTGTTCAAGATTCAGCTTGGCGTTCTGTGTTTGTAACTTATAATTGCAGGCTTCATTCAGATTCACATTTTCTGTCTTTCTTTTTGTCTTTCTGTAGCCACATCACCAGTTGATTTAAATTTACCATCTTTGCAAGGTACGATTTACTGAAATAGGCAGTGAAACTGTAGCACTTAAGCAACATTACCATCCACTCCTATTATAATGTCTGCTTAACTGTGACCTGAGTAATTATCTCTGTCCTATCATAAATGCATATTTAAAAAGATAATACAGAAGTGAATATACTTGGCTATATATAAAGTATTTCTGTATAGTTTTACCCTAGATTGATTATCTTTACAGTTGTGTTTATATTGATACTTGTACCAAAATTTCTTAGTAGCCTTGCAGATTTTGGTTGCTTATTGCATTTGCATTCGATGGGATTTCTTTAAGAAAGTCAAATCTAGTAAAAATTCAAAGGAGACAACCTTCAGATTTACGATTCATCTGTGTGAATAAGACAATGTAAGGAGGACAAATTCTGCAAGATACCAGAATGGACCTGGTTGTCTTTGCTATGATTGCTGTGCAGTTACATGTGCAGCACCTATCAGGTGTTTCAGTGATCTTTCTCCATAGTCACAGCGTATGCAGGCTTGTACCTGACTTGTCCCATTACACAGTTTGCCATGAATTTAAACTGTTAGGAATTGAGAGCTGCAGAGGCTCTTTCTCCCTTTTGTAGCCTTTGTGATATGAACCATAACATATGACAAATGAGATAGGCTGGACTAAGTGCTGGGGTATTAATAGAAGCTGAAACTCATCTATTCTGAGTTCTGAAAGAAAGGAAGAACGTGTATGATAGGAAACCCATTCATTTTGCAACATTAGGAAAAACTATTAATATAGGTGATTTACAGTGTGTTTTGTATATCCTTCTAGGAGGCTTATGACAGACAGTGAAAGAATAAGATTGCCAGAGAAATAATCTGTGCAATAAATAACATCTAGAACTATTGTTTTCTATTTTAGACTCCTACCAATCTGAAAATTTAGATGTTCTGAAGGAGAAAGAAAACAAAGGATTTTTCAGCTTCTTTCAACGAAACAAGAAGAAAAGAGAACAAGTAAGATGTAACTTTGTATAAGGAAAACTTCTAGAAACATATTCATATTGATCAATAAATACTGTTGGTTGTTTTCCAGAAAGTATAAATAACTTGAGTTTTGCTTTTCTTCTCCTGCACCTCAAGGCTGCCAGTGCCCCAGCAACTCCATTGATGAGCAAGCCAAGGCCAACATTTATCACAAGGTCTAACACTGTTAGCAAGCAGTATGATTCAAACACTCTGCCATCTGAAATGCCGAAGAAACGGAGAGCTCCTTTACCACCTATGCCAAATTCTCAGAGTGCTCCCCAGGAGCTTACACAAGCCCAAGCCAGACCGGCATCTGATACGGTGAAATCTAACAGCCTTGATAGGAACGAGCAGGTTAGTTATGTTTGCATCACTTCTCTTAACTCAAGAAGTTTACACATGGAAATCCTGATAACCCTGTTAATACCTGCTGAGGCTTGAAATTTTAGTTTGAAAATAACTGCATAAATTGAAAGATGTGTTCATTTTAAAATTTATGTCCTGTATCCAAAGTAGCTGCTGTATTTTGAAAAGACAAACTCAACTACTTATATAAGTTGGTACTGTGAGCACCATTTTGTTCTTTTCGATGAATAGTTTATATATTTAAATGTGAGAACATCATCTCACTTTATCATTTGTAGTAATTGATGTTTTAATGTTTTATTTACACGTGATTAAGAGGAGTTGGTTCTTTGCATCACATTACTAGAAAAAGGTAGCAGTCTTGGGAAGTAGCCATAACATTATTTTGTTCCCAGCAAGTTAAAGTAAGGTTTTATTTTAATCAACTAGGGATGTATTTAATTGAAGCTGTGAGGTGTGGGCTACATGTTTATGTAACCAATATAACCCATGCAATGCGTGTCTGCCATTGATGCATTAAGTATTATCCTGATATTGCACATACTGTCAACTGTGAATTCCAATTAAAAGATCAAGGCTGAAATTGTCATTACAACTTTTTATTTCATACTTTGAACGCAATATCTAAAGGTGGTCTTTTAATAAATGAAGTTCTTGGCGTGGTAGAAAAATAAAATGCAGAACTAAATGAAATACAAGTCTGAGGAATTAGTTTTGTGTTAGACTTGGAGACAAGATATTTCAAACTGTGACTTCCTTTATCTTTGTACAATGATTTACTCTTTCATTGATGCACAAAACCACAAGAGAGCACTGTTTAACAGAAGTTCTGAATTTGTGTATTGTGTCCTGCTGAAATCATTTGAAGAAGACAAAGGTTTCTTTCTGTATTTTAATAAAAGGAACTTTGAAGGGGGTGAAAATAATGATTTTCTTTTTAAAATTTATTTTACCTCATCATGTTTGTCTTTTAATTGAATTCAATTTTTTTAAAAATAGTTTATTAATGTCAGCATGCTTTAAATGATTAATATCCTGTTATGTCTAACAGAAGTGCATGGCTGCTGGGCTAGGATCTGTCACTCAACAAAATTGCTTAGATTTATTATTTTGTACTGACATTTCTTATTCATCTAAAGTGAATTGACTGAAGTTGAATAGCTCATGAAGAAAGGACGGAAGTCTAGATTAAATATATATTTTTTTTGTGTATCTTCCGTTTTGTGCTACTTCGTTCAAGTCCCCTGGAACTTAGAAGCCTTTGGCATGTGTTTTTTATGATGACTTCTGTTGCATTCTGATTTGGTTGCACAGTGATTTATTAGATAATACAGAGCTTGGGACTTAGAGCAAATATTCACCCACATTTATGCTTTGAATTTTATTAATTCATGGAAAATATATTTTTCTTTTTAATTCCTTTTCAATAACTATCATCGAATGAATGGACTGCATAGTACACGTTGCTCAACTGGATCAGGAAAGCCTTAGGAGGGATCCTGTGAGAGACTTCCTTGGAGGATAAAGCTGCTCCTTGGAAGAGTGTTGAGGCATTTTCAGAGGCAGCCTTCATGCAGCATAAGAGAAGTCCATTCCCTTAAGTGGAAAAAAGAGTTGGTATAAAAATAGGCAGTCCCTTTTAGATGTGCTACTGAGAGCTCAGGTGCAAAAATACACTCATGAGGGATGGAAAAGAGAGAGAGCATTTCGCCAAAGAAATACAGAGATACTTCTTAGGCATGCAGAGTTGTAGTTAGGAATTCAAAGGCAAACCTGGAGCTCAAAGTGGCAGTAGATGTCCAGAATATCAAGAGGTTTTTGTAAGTTAGTGGCAAGCAGGAGTCCAATGATGAAAGATGAAATAATTTACCTTTATTTTAGCAAGGTGTTTGTCACAGCTTGTCACATTTTTCTGTTGAAAAGCTAGTAAGGTGTGGACTAGACAGATGAACCACAAGGCTAAGCAGCTCAAATGGTGATGGTTAGTGCCTCAAAGTCAGACTGGTTGTCAGGTGGAGTTCCTGAGGAGTGAGTTGGTAGTATGGCCAATACTGTTAAATATCTTTATAAACAACACAGATGATGGAATTGAGGTTGACACCAAACTGAGTGGAGAAGTAGATACACCAGAAGAGATGCCACTCAGGGAGACAGTGACAGGCTGGAACCACATGAGGTTTAAAAAAGATGCATGTGAAATTCTCTACCTAGATTGGAGTGACCCCAAACATCAGTGCAGGCTGGGATCCAACTCTAATTCAGTGTACTCTTTTTAGGCCACACTTGCAATACTACATCCAGACTTGGTTCCTGCAGTTCAAGATAGAGATTTAAACAGGCAAGTGTCCAGTGGAGGGCTACCTTGATGTTTAAAGGCTGGAGAATGTAAATGTTCTAGCTAACAGAAGGCTCAGATGGGATTATATAAATACACAGTAAGAATCAGTTTTTATTCAAGAATTGGCATCCCAGATACAGATTTTGAAATGAAAGAAGACACTTTTGATGGTTACATAGCATTTCATAATAAACATTGTATTCTTCTGGTGTGTAAAAGGTGTTACAGGGAAAGTAGAGGTATACTCTTCACCAGGATGTATTGTCTGTGACAGAATGAGGACCAGTGGGCGCTAATTGCTTCAGTGGAAATTCCATTCAGACACAAGAAGAAAACAAATCACTGTGAGAACAACTGAACATTGGAATAGGTCACTCAAAAGAAGCGGTAGGAGCTCTCTCACTGGAAATACTCAAGCTGTGTCTTGACAAGCTCCTGCAATAACCTAATCTAAGACCCTGGGTTCAACAGAAGGTTGAACCAAATGGTCTCCAAAGGCCTCTTCCAACTTAGGCTTTTCTGTTTCACATGGGTGAATCGGACTCTTGATTTTCAAAACTGTATGCATATAATTAGGAGAACAGAAATAAAAAACAGGGCTCCATCACTAACAGAAACCAACAAATAATTGGTTTTGCTGTGAGATCAAGCACTACTTGAGTAATGCTGTCAGAGGGAAGATTTGGAAGCTTGTTTCTCAGAGCTTCCACTGAAGTCTCTAAAATAAACAAAAAGGTGTGTCTAGCTATTGAGACTTTGGGTTCAACTTAACTGTGAAGTGAAGGACAGTTCCCATAAAAAAGGTGTTAGGTCAGGGACAATGTAAAATAATTTTATTCAAATAAAAATGTCATTTACGGGATTTGCAACTTTTATAAATTAAATTGGGCGCTATTTAAATACGTAGTAAGGATCAGTCTCTATTCCAAGAGTTGACATTCTGAATACAGAATTTGAAATGAAAGACAAGCGTTGTAGAAGACAGTTTTGATGGTTGCACAGCATTCCATTATCAATATCACGTGCATTAATATTTCTCAACCCAACGTGACCAATTTATACTTGTTTAATTCAAGTCAGTTCGTGGTAGTGTAGCATGTACAATGGTCACACTAGAACACCATTATTTCATTGTAAGCCATGTAAGAATTTAGTCTCTTACGTTCTCCACTGTTGAAAATGTGAGGATTTTAAGTAGTCTTTAGGTTGTTCACCAGACTGATTGGTGTGTTTACTAGGCTACTGAGTGTCTGGGAGTTTCACTGTTATTGCAGTGTTTCATTTAATTTACAAAATTTAAGATACACTTTGTTTTTCCTTAAGGTTTATCCGCTTTTGCATTGCGAGAAGCATTTCCTTGCAAATCATGTTGCTTTTAAGAATGCCTTAGTTCTGAAGCCTGCCCTTCGGTTTATTTGGCAGACTGGATACATACTTTATTTCTTCTATGGACCAGGATGACCTTCTGTATGTGCCTTATTGTGGACAAATCTTTTTTGTAACATCCACAAGGAGGACAAAATGAAATGTCGGTTTTGCCTGGATAAACTGTTTGCCTGGTTTTGATAGAGACATGCCAAAGTAATAACATCAGACAACAGTGAAATGAGCCAACTTTAAGGGAACAGTGTTCTCACTGTTGTCTTTCTTCAGATTCGCAGTGTATTGTAGTCCAGTTTCTCACAGTATGAAAAAGGGTTTAATGTTTACCTCCTACAGCTTCTCCACTTCTCCCTTAAAAAAAGAAACAGCTCTCTCTTTATATGAGCAGTTACATTCTGGTATGAGGGTTGGAAATTTTTCTGCCTCAATTTCAGAGTAATTATAGAATTGGCTTTCGGAGAGACGTTTAGGGGAAAAATTAGTACAATGGATGTATGGGTAGTTTTTACAAGTTATTATGTAGCACGATTGCTCATTCTATGGGAGACTCAGAAGATAACTAGTAAGCTTAAATAGTTAATGTTGTCCAGCAAATGTCGATGTTTAATCAGGTCGGAAATGCGCATGTTGGTCTAATATTGAAGTCCCTCACTTATTTGTCAGTTCTGGTTTTTAGGCAAGATGGCTCTTGCTAGAAGTATGTTTAGAACTAGCAAGTTTAAATACACTTGCAAGTAGAGGACTCTCAAGGGGTTTTTGCAGTGTGTTGTTGTATAATGCAGTATGTGTGTCTTCACAGTTTTCATAAAAGTAGATGCAATTTTCTAATGATAACACTTCTTTAATAGAAAATTTATTTTAAAAGGAAAGCATTTGATTATATCCAAAATGCCATTGCTGATTTTACTGCTAATGCTTTATTTATAAATACTGGACTGTGGCATCTTCATTTTATCGCATGAATGTTTGTGTTCTTACACTGTTTTCAGTTATTTTAAAGGAGCGTACGTAAACTGTGTTTGGGTAGGAACAATTAAGCGGAGATTTTTTTAGTCAAAATATTTATAAATTAAATGATGGATAGAACTTCTCAACTGCAGAAATATAGTTTGCTTTTATTTACACAACCTTAACTCCTAAAGAAACTCAAATCTCCAGTCTAGCCCTTAGAAAAGGAAGGAGGAGATGGGAGAGTGGGGGAAGGGTGGGAAACAACTAAACCATAAAATATTTCTGAAAAGATTTATCAGCTGCTGTCATGGAGCAGCTTAGTCAAGAGGGAGGGATGCTTAGTCAAGTCAGGAGGGATGAGTTTTGTGCTTAAGAAGATACACCAGAGGCTCAGTTCCCAGAAATTTGATGGTCAGCCCTTTAAAGAAGAAGTTGGGCAGTGAGCACTATGAACATCAGGGAGGTCTTGAATAGAGCCAGTGCTACCTGGGAGAAGACAATGCTCAGGACTACCAGTTTGCTCTTGCTGAAATTTGCATGGAGATCATTTGATATGATTCTGGTATCATTCAGTATTGGTGAACATTGCATGCATCTACTTCTGAGCATACCAAATGCATCACCTTGTCCCCTTATTGTATTTGCTTCTGTTCCAGCAAGTATGTAGATAAATTGTAGGAGAGAATAGCAATATCGGGTGTTTGGACAGACTAACCAGCTGAGTTTCTAGATAAATTGTAGGAGAGAATAGCAATATCGGGTGTTTGGACAGAATAACCAGCTGAGTTTCTTCAGATATATTCTGTATGTCCTTTCTTTCCAATAGGTTAGAGGTGTAGTACTTTCGCTGTAGTACTTTGGCTAAGTTGAAATATTTGGGAAGCGAAGTCGAGTGCATTAATCAAAGAGCAAATACATTTTATTTTTCCTGTTACTCCTTGAACTTACTTTTGTCTGCATACTTGTACAAAGGGAAGAAAAAAACCCCTGGCAATATGGCTAGCAGTGTGTTCTGATTTTCCAGTCACCTGTATATGTTCTGTTAAATCGAGTTACCTACGAAGCAAAAGAGGTGGTGGTACGCAAATGTGTGTATACCCTGATCCTTAGTGTTGAGATATGTGTTCCAGCACGCTGAAATGCTCCACTACCACTACATTCTTTCCCAAGTATTTTTTTTTTTGCCTTCCATTCTAGCAGCAAAATTATTGTGGCTGGAACTTGGGAAGCACTGGCCTGTACAAGTGTCTGCCTGGGGTGGTGTGTGATTTGGTGCCAAATTTGCTCATATACATTTGAGGCTAAAAAGCTTCATATCCACCCTTGCTTTTTCCAGGATGAGGAAGGTTTACGGTGTTAAATGTGAAACTCCTGCATGCATTGTGGAAGTTATGAGAGAGTTCACTGGTGTTTCCACACGAGGACAGTTAATTACTTCAGTGATTCTAACATGATTTTTAAGTGTAACTGATGAAGCACTGGATATCATTGGCAGTTGGTATGACACATGAACACCCAGATGTATATTCCAAAACTTTGTCAGATACTTCTTAATAAGATTTTTTCTCCATCTGTTTAAAGTACTATTTTCACATTACAGCCTTTGTTAGGATTTGAAAGCTCTTAATATTCATATGTTGAATAATTCCTGAGAAAATCTGTTCAGCACTTGAACCTTAACTGGAACATTTAGTACTTTCTCAAAATCTCTCTTTGCAAATCATTTGTTTCTTTGGATGCAAAGGGCAGTAGAAAGGCTTATAAAAATCTTCTGCTAGCATTTGTGCTCTCATGCTGAGAACATTGTTTCCCCTCTACACACACTTGCTGTGCAGGAGGGAACTCTGGTGACATCTGCTGAGCTGAGTGAATGTGTGCTGTGCCAGCCAAGTCAGCTGAGGGAGCCTGCGTGAAGCAGATGAGGGTGCAGACCTCTGAACAGAGAAACAGTGTCCTTGTGCAGGGTGGGAGGAGCTGCAGCTACCGAAGAGGAGAAAAACAGAATTGCCCAACAGCAAGGAGGACAGTGATCTAACAACTAAAAAAGCCTCATTTGGGTAAACAATACTATATCTGACATCCCCTCCTGCATAAATTCAGACGCTTAATACTATTCATTCCTTTTCTTGTAGAGATATTTAGGGACTGTGAATAAGAAACTAGTGTAAAGTGATTTTTGTTGTGTGATATTTTAATCTAGAAACTGACTTGTTTAAAAACTATTCAAGCATGCAAGTAGTTTTAATTAGGAGTGGAGTGCTACGTACTCTGCTGTTCTTAAAAGAACATTTCGCCTTGTGCTTTGCTTTCTCTCCTGAAAACCTTGAGTCCTACTTTGCTGTAAAAGGTTTGAGTTGCTTGCTTTGGCATTACAGTTGTAGGCAGAATTGTGAGAACCTTTTCTTAGAGTGCAGTAAGGTATTAAGGGATCTGTCGTACCTGATGTGGAGGTGGGACAAAGCAGAGGACTGAGTATGCCCCGGGTAGCTCAGGGGATGGTTTTCACCATTCCAATTCATTCATTTGGGTATTGTATTGGGATCTAACAGGAGCTGCCAAAAACTGCTTCACAGACATCTTGTGCTTGTGAGTAATTGTCCTTATAGTTTTGATTGCACGCAACCAAATACTCTAGCTTTTGTTCTTCCCTTACTGTAGGATTTGTATGTGTTCAGTGGCAGCTTTCTAAATGGTAAGCTTCTTATTCCATGGATATTGACATGGTCAACAACTCTGTCAGTGATGTTTTTGAAAGGATTGCTAGTGAAACAGATTTGGAGGTGTGTTTATGCCATCCCTGTTCTTCCATAGTCTGCTTGGTGAAGTGGGCTGGTTTAACTGAAGCACAGAGAAGTTCTCTGAAGATGACCCCACATCCAGTTGCTCTGTGGCTCTTTCTAGTAAGAAATGAATGTCACTGCTGGAGTATATTGTTGAGTAGACAAGTGATAGGCATCAGAATTACTACAGAAATAGGCAGCTGTGTCTAATGCACTCTTTCGTTGTTGGGATCCTGAACATTATAATCCAAATAGATGTGGAAATACAGGGTTTTTTCACCATGAGGCAAACTGCAGTTAAGAGTGGCAGGCAAATTTACAGCCACTGTCTTTTTGACACACAGAATGTATTTTAAAAACAATTTAAAATGCAGTTGGACTGCTATATCATAAAACTACGAAGTCCTCGGTAGGTAGCCTTTTCTATTTTTGTAATGGTTTTCATTGGTTTTGACTTAAGAAATTTTTTGTGTTTTGCTACAATAATGAAGACATTACAATTTAACATCAGTTGGTATTACAATTACTGCTATTACAACTTACTACAGTTTAACTTCAGTATGTATTAGAACAGTTGTACTTTCCAAGATAAGTTTTGAAAGCTGGCATTTAAAACAATATCTATAAAAGCTCGAGTATTTCAGGTAGAAAACCAAAATCCTAATAATTATGCATACAGCCCAATTATGACAGCTTTGGAAGGCAGGGAGAAGGAAATGTTGTGTCATGCCATTTTAGTGAGGTGTAGTTGAGGCTTCTTTCCACAATGATTTTCAGCTACTTTTAGAAATGAACTGTTTGGGGGTTGTAGAATAGCCTTTGGGTACAGAAGAATTCAAATTCTCTTTTATACGGTATGTAACAACTGCTTGTCTTTTACTGCTGTATCTTGTACCTCTGTGAATATATTCAATTACTCTAGAAATTATTTTTTTTTAAACTACTCCTCAGAGGAATTAAGATGAGAAACATAATTTGTTTTGTAATAGGTATATACGCTCACTTTCCCAAATGTATATCATGAATACATTTGGAGAATAATTACTAGAGGTATTTTGCTGTTTTTCTTTGATTGCTAACAATATTCTTCCTCCCTTGTCTCCCTTCCTAGGCTGCTCTGGGTTTAGTACGGAAAGGTTCTCTGCCACTCAGTGACACTGCTTCCGTGAACTCCTCTCTACGGAGGATGAAGCGCAAAGCGCCCTCACCACCCTCTAGAGCACCAGAAGATCAAAGTGAAAGCAGCAGTAAGACTGGTAATGTTTTTATGCTGTTTAATTGGGAGGCAACAGAAAGTATGGCAATTTGGCTAAACTTTAAAGAAATAGCACTTTATGGGATAAGAGCTTCAAGTAAAAATCTGGATGCCAAACATTTTCAGATTGTAAGGAGTGGCAATACGACTTTATGAGATTGGCTCGTGTAATGTGAGAAGTAAGTAGGTTTTAGGGCATGCAGATCAGGAAAAAAAAAAACAACCAGAAAATACCAAATTAATTATAGTTATGTTAACTATAGCAATTGTGTTTGTGTTAAGCAGATGGACTGCTCAGGATGGGGACAAAAGTTTAGCTTTTCTGAATCAGAGAGGGTTTAATAGGACACGGACTGAGAAGAATTTTAGAGAAAGTTTTGTATTGTTTGTCCATAATTCTTGTTTGAGCTAAAATTCAATTCTCTCTGATTCAAAAATACTTAAATGTTGAGATTAAAATGTCTGGGAAATGTGACAGTGAGCACCAGTTGCTTAAGAGAAGGTGCATTTCTTGAGGATCTCTTCAGTTTGTAAGATCACAGTTTAATATTTTACTTAGAACTTTTGTTGGTGTGGAAATTGAGAGGCGATTTAAAAAGTTTGTTATGTGACTTTTTGTAGTAACAATGTCAACAGAATCAGCTCATGCTAAAGTGGAAGAAAGAGCCATTGAAATGCAGTCTGAAACAGGTAGGTTTTTTTTCCAACTGCATTGATAAAATCTACTTCCTTGTGAGCTATGGTAATTCACAGTAATAAATTATTATGCTATAGATATGTCATAAGTATAGAACTAATTTTCATGCTTCAGATCAATTAACTTTTCATTTGAAGTACAATTATGGCTTTTTGAAGATGTTTTCCTTGCTACAGAAACACATGCAATCTATTTTGTATTGGTCTCTGTGCTTTACTTTTAATAAACTAAGTATTATCTGTGTTTTCCCTCTTCCCACTCAAGTTGTAGACAAGAACAAGCCAGAACTTCTGTGGTTTTTGTATACCTTAAAACAAGCCTTTCAAAAGCCAAAGCCGTCTTGTTTTTAGAATGCCACTCTGTGCTGCCCTGGACCTGCATAACCTAGGGGTAGGAGAAAATCTGTCTTCTGGTTTGCATCTGAACAGCCTTTGAAAACTTAAGCTGTAAATATAAACTGTAGGCATAAATAGTCATTTATACATTAAATTAAATCTTTTGTTGGGTGCTATTGAAAAGATGTAATATATGAAAGTATAGCTGTTCAAAATACAGTTCTTTAGCTCCTGAACATGATACTTTTCTAATTTATGCAGTTTGTACTATTAAGTGCTGTTGTTTGTAAGCATCAGACTGTAGAGTTCAGATACAAGATATGGCACCTAGTCTTCTAAAATACTTGTAAAAGTTTTTAGAATAATGAGTTCAGTCAGGAAAAATCACTCTTCACTGTATTTCCCTAAGAATGAAATACATATACACTAAGCATATGGAGTAGCACTGGCATTGTATGAGGCTAAACACTCGGTTTCTGTGCTAGCTGACAGGAACTCTTAAGTAGTTTTCCAGCTGTTTTATTCAAGATGCAAATCAAATTGGTTGGAGTGGTAAAAACTAATGTACCGCAACAGGAGTTGATAAAATCACCTGCCATCCTAGATCTCTGGCAGAGGGGAAAAAACCAAAACCAAACCAACAGTAAATTTGGGCTTGGTTTGTGTTTAGGGTATTTTATGTCAATTGTCAGAAAAGACCTTTAACAGAAATAATACGTAACTTAATAAATGGTGTGAACCTATACCGTGCAGTGTGAGGGTGAAGGTGTGTTGAAGCTGTAACCTTTCCTTTTCCAAGTTGTTGTAGCAGATGAAGGAGAGTAGTCACTTCGAAGTGAATGACTCTTAATGATGTTTATTTGTATGTAATTTTCTGTGTTGAAAACTGTGATTATCTACATGTGCTGAGCCTAAGATGATGAGCAAAGTTATCGTACTATGATATAAAATCAAGGGTTTGGTTTTCTTGAGCTTGTTTGTATCTAAAGATTGTAGATTCATGTTAGAATTTCTGCATTTCCCATGACTGTAATGTCTGAGTGCTGCAGGGATAAACAGTCCTGAACTTCATAGAAATGGCTTGTTTACTTTTCCATAGATTTAGGAACCTCTGCTTGAAGCATTTGAGTTTTGTAATTAAATATTTTAATTTAAATTGTAATGGAAAGAAATAGAAAAATGTAATCATCTTCACTGGGCTTAGAACAGCGAGTTGAGCCCTGGGATTTGCTTCTGCAGTTGGCGACAGTCTTCATTCTTTCATTCTGCTGCTGTCTGTATGTAATGTCCTTTGCTGAAGACTTAATGCAATGCAGTTTTTAAAAATGTAGAGACAAGTCACATAGCACAGCTTTGTTGCCTTTTTTTTTCTTTTTCTCATGGGATACTGCTGCTCTCTGGTGGAATCTCTGAAACTGTCCTGAGGCCTATGTATAAAGATTCCTTTTAGTAAAGCCCATCACGCTGTGAGAACCAATATTCAACTGCAACAAAATCAATTGCAGTACACTTGTCCTATTCCTAGTCTGCTGGATACTAAATTGGACATCATTTGAACTTCACATAAACTCAGTAGTTCCTTCCATTGGATTAATACTGCTCTGTTTGTCAGGCTTCAGGAAGTATTGCACGTTTTTGCTCATCTGTGACTGGCATTCTCAAAGTAGTTTTGTTATGCATCGCTACTTTAGCAAATAAGCAAAAAAGAAGTTAAGCTGCAAATACAGCGTTGCCTTCTGTCCTAAAATGAAGCATTACAAATGTTGAATTTGACTGCAAGTAGTGCACAGCTAATAGACACATGTACGTTCACTGGAACGATGTTATATAAATTGGAACAGGCAGCACTTCTGTTGTGAAATGACAGTTTTCTCATGGCGTCAAAACAGATTGTACCTTCACAAAAGTAGTTTGAAGGCATGTATCTACTAGAATAAACGTTGACAGAGAATTAATTTGAACATTTGGGATTATAACCAACAATTTTTTTTTTCATCAATTATGATTTTTGTTCCCTTTCCCAAAGTTTAATTAATGCTCAGTCTTTTTTCTAGGAAAGAGGGTGAAGTGATGTTTAAAACAAATTAAAATTACAGATTTTTAAATAATTTCCTATCAACCAAATCCCTTGATGTAATCTTATTTGTTACAGTATCTCTTAAGAAAGTTGTTAAGGACTATAGAGTGAAGAGTGAAAACTCTGGCAGATCAGCATGATGTAGTCAGGCTTTGTGTCTTTGGCACTTACAAGCAGAACAGCTCAGTGCAGTGTCAGCCTACTCTGTCGTGCAAAGAGTATTCTTACAGACTCGAAGGAGACTTGCAGTTGATATGTCAGTCATCTTATCAGATATGTCTTCACAATGTCATCCTGTAGGCATTAACAATGTTTTTTTGGGGCGAGTTAAAACTCGGTGACTAATGTTCATAGAGAATAAATTAGACACAGACAAAAATGCAGTTTATATACAGACTTACATATAGAGTATATAAGCAATAAGGCAAGAGGACGTAGCCAGAATTGCCGTAAGTACTTCCTAAAGATATGTTGCATATAAAAACTCTAAGGGTTTGGAAACAACTCATAAAATCTGAACTGTTCCTCTGGGGATTTAGCTGTGTGATGTAACTGAAGGATGGCTGTTAAATGTTGGTTTTGTATCAAGTGTATCAACAGGTGAAAAACCACAAGTTGAAATAATACCAGCCTTGCTTGGAGTTAATGCTGACAAATGAAGTAGAGCACTTTGGAATAAGTGTGAGGGTTGTTTGGCATTATACATTTGCAGGTCAGGTCAGTCCACTCCAGAGCTTGGAAGTGTTTCTAGGACAGAAAAGGACAGACTTTCATGTAGCAGGAACGTCAGCAATGTCTCCTACCAACCCAAGCTGAGTTTCCATCCCATCAGTATAGATACAACTCAGCCTTTGTTATACTCCTCTCCAGAGGAAAAATGGCTGAGATGACAGCAGTGCCTGGGCACGAAGCCATAGCAGCTCCAGAATGCTTCCATTTGTCTTGTCAGAAGTCCTGGCTGTGCTTTGTTGTATAATTCAGGTTTCCACTGAGTATTTAGACTGAAGGTCTTGGTCTTTGTTCCTGTGGCTGGTGATGGCTCAGACCCATGGTGTAATAGTTCCCATCAGTGAAGGAGACAGTGTTCTTGAGAGCTGGTTATGGGCTGTGGAATAGCCTCATCAGGTTTGATGTTTGCCCGCATTCTGTTATGCAGTGTTATGTGTTGTGCTTTGTGACATGTATCTTTGTACACATAAAATCATACTGCTAACACTAGCTCTGCTACTGCTCCCACCCGCACCGCTTTGCAGTCTTGCCCCTCTTTTCCTGGGGATCTAAATCACCTCTGTTCAATGCTGTGACACATGTTGATCACATTGCTTAATGTATAACTACAAAGCTTTATTGCAAGAGTGCAATACAAAAACCTAGAATTAAATAGTAAAATGTTTGCCATTCATAGTTGCTCTGTAGCTGTGAATGAGTAACTTTGGTATTGCTGAACTCTTAACTAATGACCCTATTGGAAAAATCCGTTTCTGTTCTGTACTGAGACTTTCTCCAATGCATACAGTCCTCTATTATGTTTCTACAACAAGGTACTTCTCTAGAAGTACTGGAAGCATTGTAGGATACCAGTCTGTACAAAAATGTCAGTCCAGGATTTTTTGTATTCTGGGATCTGCTACTTTCCAGTATTGCTTGCTTTAAGCCTGTACTTCGTTTTCATTGTTAGACGTGGTTTACACTTGGAAATTTACTGATGCAACTTAGAAAGGCCTGACACCTAATAGTCCAAGTGCAAAGCCTGTGCCTTGCAAACAGGTATCGGTGCATGCAAAGCTGACGGGTATGCCCTGGCCAAGTCAGGCAGAGTGCACTGCTTATATGGCTCAGCTCTTGCCAGTAGCCTTCCATGGCACCATATTGCACTGTATAGATGGAATTACTATTTTCTTTGTGTTACAGAATGCAGGTTGCAAAGCCAAGAGGTTAATTGTATGGTCTACTTACTAATATTTGAAAAATGTGAATCATCATCTTGTTGTAGGAAAATTCCTGGCAGGGAAGTGAAGCTAGAGTTGGTTAGTCCCTCTGGAAATCAAAATAGGCATATTTATTAGTTTGACTTGAAGTACACTGAATTATGTGTGCTCTAATCCAGTAACTAAACCTTTTAGTTTGAACTATGCTCTAGCTGAACACCTCATTATTTTTATGGATTAGCGCTTTCCTCTGTACTTTATTTTTGTGCACTTCTGGTGTAACCCAGAGTACGGCACAAGATACTTCTGTGTTTTAATATATTTGGATGATTACGGGAAGTTTTTGCTAGTGGCAAGCAAACTGGTGAAAACCACAGGTAAAACTGAGATTTGGTTTGCTCTTTAGTTCTCTAACATACCTATATATAGTATAGGTATATTAGAGATATAAAAGATATCTGGTATAAAGGAACTGTGTATTTTAAAACTCATTGGAGAGCTAATGAAAGTATTAAGAAATCTGGGTGAAATAAACTGCCTCCATGAAATTTTGGATTACAGTATTGTTAAATATATTTTGATCTATCCTAATCCAGTACTTGGGTTAAACAAGGCAAATGTTATACAGTAGTTACAGATGTAGAAATACAGTGGCATGGTGATGAGCATATTCTCACATGTAAAAAGAGAGAACTGGAAAGAAGAAGAAAATGCTGTGAAGTTAAAACTCTGAGTATTTTTTTTTTTTGGCCTGAATTGTGAAGTCTTGTCAGTTTTCCTTCTTTAAACTCCTTAGGCTGACTTCACGGTCTCTTTGTATCTACACCTTGCATTGAGATTTTTTGGTTTTTGTTGTTGTTGTTGTTTTTTCTTCTTCTTTATGTGAGTGCAGGTGTAAGGAGCTCAGAATACAACCTGGAAGAAATTGATGAAAGAGAAGAGATGGTTGTGCAACAGAGAGAGGACAGTGAAAGTACAAATACCTCTCTCAGGACAGGAGAGGTTACTGCAGCCTTCAGCTCTGCCGAGGTGCCGTTGGAAATTGAAAGAAATGATCCTGCTTCACCAGCTCCAGTTCCTGGCAGTGTTTTGGTAGACAACTCACAAAGCTTCAAGGAAGAAAAACAAGAAAATATGAGCACAGATGGCAAGTAAGTACGTTTTGTGACAAAGAAAGGAGCATTGGGGAGGGAATGGGGGAGGCAAAATGTAGAGTACTGTTTCATTGTGGAGCGCAGAATAGAGAATTGTGAGTGAGGAATGAGCTTGATATGCTTAGCTTTCATTGTAGCAGTCTTCTGTACAGAGTAATTCATGAAGCTTTTCAACAAAGATTACAAAGAAGTGTTCTCCAGGCTATTCTGTTTAAGCCTCTCTTTCCTTACTATGCAGACAGCCGGATCCCACAGAAGCTGAACCTGCTTCTAAAATACCCAACATATTTACTACAAATAAAAATCTGGATTGATTAGTTAAATGAGAATTTACAAATTGAGGAAAACCAGGTGATCGGCCATTTCTGTTCTTCTGGGCACAGTTATCTATTGCTTGCATATTTACTTTGGTTTTAATTTTTCTTTTATCTTTTCCTTATATGTTAGCCAGTTTTCTTGACCTGTCTCAATCCATCTGCTCTCAGGAAAACAAGTTAATTCTTTCTTTTTAAAGAATAAACACATTAGTTTTCTTAACTGCTCTTTTTCCCTTTTGGTGATGCTGTACCTTTGCCCTTCAGCATGTTTGTTAAACTACCTGACTCAGCAGGTTTCCAACATGAGTTCGTGCCTGCTTGAAATAAATGTTGATTGTCCAGAGAAGTCCCATTGTGTTAATGTAATTCACTATTTCTCTGTTCCCTGGGGCAACTAAACTGGCTACTGTTCCCATTTTAAATTGAAAGAACTATTTCAATTATTGTGCTGAAGCCAAAATGTGTGAATGCTCTAGTAGCCAAGAACTTTCAAGGTAGCACAGAGAGCTTTGACGTGTATTTCAAGGGTCTTTTTTGTCAGTCCAAGGCCAAATGGGGCTTTGCAAAAATCTTTGGTGCTCTGTCCTGACAAATATTGTGCCGGTTGCTTGGGTGTGTCTGCTCTATGGCAATCTACAAGGAGGAGGATCAGCCAAATGCTATTTTTAAGTTGTCTTGAACTTGCAGATTATCAGACCTGTGTTACTGGGTCAATTTGGCCAATTGTCCTGGGGATGTCTCTTTTTTTTTTTTTTTGTCCCACAAATCTGCAATAGCCTTTCATGGCCGACAGTCCTGGTGAGTATGGTCCGGTGTGCACTGACCCCTAACTTTAGAGTTTGGCAATCTTTTCTTTCCTGAAATATCACAGGGGTTCCAGAATGAGGACTAAGGTTTCTCTGACATTATATTTCTGGAAACCTTTTAATAATGCAGATCTTTTATGTAATATGTAGTTACTTTGAAGAATTGTTTTTTAACCAAACCAGAGATATGTGTAATATTCCAGTCAAACCCACTGATTTCTGTAATGATATTCTGTAGCCCTTGGTCTTTTTGTTTGTCAGTTTGTTTTTTAAACAGTTCAGCCTGTTGTGAATCCTTGTAGTTCATTCCTTCAGCTGTGCTCACGGGAATGGAGATAAGCAGGAGTATGGAGTACAGGACTGAGCTTTAACTTTCTTCTAACAATAATTTTGAATGCATATGCTCCTGTGTAGTGGTTTATTGGACACTTAGTGTGTTTTGGACAAGCAACATGAGAATGGATGATTATGGAGAAATATATAATTGTAAATGATTAAAAGCAGATCTTTCTACTTAAGACACTGATTCCTGACAACTAATATATTTGATGTGATAAATGAATTGGGATGTTCCTAATACCAGTATTTGTAACTACAGAAAATAAAATATCTTAACAGAGATGTAAATTTGAATTTCTAATTTTTTTTAAAGAGAGATTTTGAGTATTTTGGCCTTTTTTCACTTACCTTTTTGAGTCAAGCACTTAACATTTCCCTCCCAAGAGATAAAGGGCTCTTCCAGCATTTGGGCAGTTCTCTTGTTCACCGTGATCTGAGGACAGAAACTGTATGCATTTGCAAAATGTTTAGTATGCAAGTGATACATTTGATGCCTATTTCTTTGCTGTTCTCAAGATATTTCTTGAAAATTACACACAATTTTGCGTTGTTATTTTGAAAACTCTGCACGGCACGTATGTTCATATGCAGCCAGCACCTCATGCAGCTTCCTGTATATCATGTTGGGGACAAAATCAAGGACATGTTTTAAATGTTGTGGTGTCAGAACACTAAGAACACTGTTATATGAATTATAAACAATCACCTTTGTGGCTTCACTGAAACTGAGTTGTTACTGGAAACAACTGGGCCTTGTTCAAACTGCAGAAGTAAACAAAAGGAGGAAAAGAAGGGAAAGGAAAACTGATCATCTGCTTACACAGAAGAGAGTGAAGCTGCATGTCATTTTGGTAAAATATCATACCAGCATTTCCTCTTCTTTAAAAAAAATTCAGTCTATTCTGCTGAATACTCCAGTGTTTGGCAGTGTGATTCTATTTTGTCCATCTGTGTTTGGACATACCAGCATATTTAATGTACTGTTGTGCTTTGCAGAGGACTACAGACTCAGATAAGCAGTGAGCAAGCTGCATTTGAAAAAGACAGGAAGCTTAAAATGTTGGATCAAAACAAAAATGATGGTGAGTAGTTCCCACTCATTTTTAATACTTCAAAACAAGGTTGAAGAGAACTTTTGTATTCTTTTGAAAAAAAATGACAATACAGTCAAACTCTTTAATTGTCAGGTTATTAATCGTCAGGTTATTTTTCTTTATACTTTCTCTAGCTGGTGTATACACTTTGAGGTGACAAGAATTGACTGTAGTTTTGGTTTTATTTTTTTGTGATTTTATTTTCAGTGGTTTTTTATTACTTCCTGTAGCAGTAGTCAAAGCTGCATCACACTGTTGTAGGCAGTACAGGTGGAGCAGTGCAGAGCAGAGCGGGTCTGGACACAGAGGTTATCCTGCCATGTGGTGTGACGTGCACTGCCCCACACCAGGCATGGAAATGCCACCCGTTGTTCTTTCGTTACGGAATTAGTGTGAATTTTCTGCATGAAAATGCAAATATTTTTAAATACAAATAGAACAAAGCGACACACTGATTTGAAAAGAAATTATAACATCCTGTGCATCTAATGGATCATAAATTTTCCTGTGGATTTAGTGACCCGACTGATTTATTTTATGCTTTTGTGACACTGATTTCCAGATTTATATATTAGGCCTTCCATAGTCTTTTATATGCAGTACACCTCTGTTCGTAAATCATAACAACATACTGTATGAGTCCTGTTTATATGTTTTAACCACCTTTGTATAAGCTTTGTATATGTATAAGTTTGAACTACTTTTTTTTTTCCAAAATACCACCGCAAATGGTTATTTCTAAAGACTGTAAATTTCCCCAATATTGTGTTTAAAACAATTTGACCAAAATACTCCTGTGTTTTGGAGAGAACTATGTGTGTTTAGTCCAGGGCAGAAAATTGATTTATCAGACCTGTGAAACAGTTGGAAAAATAGAGTTGGAAAATTGCTTTTGTCTGTATGTTTTCCAGTTGTTCTCATGTACAAATACATAAGGTGTAGTTGACAAATACAACATTTGTAATGTTAAAACTAAGGAACAGAAGCCAGATAAGTGTGGAACTTGAATAAAAAAATGCATCTAACTTAATATTCAGTAGTCCTTGAGCACTTGATTCACTGATTACCTATATAATCAACTGAAATTCATTAGCACTTTTTACATTATTCTAGAATAGAGTTTTCTGTTAAGTTTATGCATGCCATAAGTAGCCTGTCAATTAAGGAAGAATATCTGAGTTAGTAGAATACTATTATTTGGCAATATTAGTTAAAGGTAAGTATATCTTTAAATAGCCTTTAAAAGTAAGTGTTAAGGAAAACTTTAATATCCGTGAGGAGCTAGTCCTTGTAGTTAAATATATTGGATATGGGGCTTCATGATCTAAGGGGGAAAGTTGAATCATTTTGGCATTTGTATTAATTTTGGAATCTCTCTTTAACCTAAAGATCACAGTGATACAAAACTCCTTCCAACAACAGAAGAAGGGAAAGAACTTCAGACAGCCAAAATTGAAACAGTGGATTTTAGAGAAAATAACAAGCTTGAAGGTGACAGACTATCGAACTGCCAGCCATGTAAAAATGACATTTCTGTAAGTCATAGGAATTATCCTCAACTGATTCCAGAAAAGCAAGATCAGAAAACAAATCAAACCAGCTCGGACACAGTGAAAACTCAGGATGTGGCAATCCAGGCAGGTCCATCAGATAGCAATTTGGGAAGGACTACACAGAAAGAAATTATTGTTTCTCAGGGTTGTGACTCATCCAGATTCAGAGGACTGGTCCCTCAACACAACACAGATATAAACAACCCCCTTCTTCAAGTGCTGCATGGAATACAAAAGGATGAAGGTACTTTAATGGAGCAAAATCTTGAGACACAAGAAGTTACCCCTGAAAAAGCAATTCCTGTAAGAGATCAGAGTCACATTTGTATAAATGGCAGTAATTTCCCTTCACCAGAAACAACTGCAAAAACTCCAGATGGCTCTCCTGTAAAAGATTACCCTTTTTATAGACAGGACACCAAACCTAAACGGAGGCCTGCTAATGAAATTACAAGAGATTACATACCAAAAATTGGAATGACTACTTATAAAATAGTGCCTCCAAAATCCTTAGAAATAATGAAGAGCTGGGAATCAGAAATTCCATCAGATTTTAAGGATCAAGAGGTATCTACTTTCGAAAACTCTCTGAAGCATGAAGACTCCAAAGAAATCACAGTGCAGGCTGAAATTCCTCATCTTCCAAAAAGTGTGGGTCATTTACAGGTTGGTTCACAGAATGAACCTGCAGCAGCAAAGGTTCTGCTGCACAGAGCGAACAGCATTTCTGAACGCGTTGTGATGTCTGGAGCTGTGATTACTACTGAGAGCAACTGGATGGAAACAGAGTCTTCCAAACAGCGTGTCCCACTCATGCTAAGCTTGGATAATACAAATGCTGCTCCTGAGACTCAGGACAAGTCAAATGCATTAAGTCCTACAACGAAGCCTAGTTCTTTTTATCTGCAGATGCAACGAAGAGCTTCAGGTCACTATGTGACATCTGCAATTGCCAGAAGTACTGTTTGTGCTCCTCATTCCATTCAAAATGAAGCTAAAATTACAGAGATGGGAAAAAAAGTCTCATCACCTGATCCAACCTCTTTAACTTTACATAAAACAAGTACTTCCTCTCTTCCAGCAGATGAAGAAAAAGTCGATGATGGAAAAAAAATTGAATCTTCCACTTCTCCTGCTAAAAGCAATATACCTTCAAGTTTTCCCTCCTGTCCGCCAGCACCATTGTACTTAAGAACTCTAAGAACTTTTGCAGTTCCAAAGCTGTACTCTAGTTCGAGACCATCCCCTTTTGCTCTTGCTGTCTCTTCTGCAGTCAAAAGGTCACAGTCGTTCAATAAGACACGTACAATCACTAGCCAGGCGCCAAGAGAGGAATTTCCTGCAGAACTCCCCTCTGCTGCTTCAACAGCTGAATTCTCCTCAGCTATCTCCATGTCTCAAGTGAAAAGCCCTTCCTTACAGATCATAACAGGGGGGTCACAGAATAGTCTAATGGATAAGGTAACCTTTATTTCTAATACTGGTTGACTGTTGATCCACTGTCATCTAGTGTGACTAGTCTAGAGGCTAGGCTTTGATCTGCTTCTGGATCATAAAGTGCTGTTTGTATACAATGTGAACACCCTGTGGTACATGTCTAGCAGTAGCACAGTATTCGGATGAAATACAGGAAAACATGGAATGTTAAAGTGAAAACACCGTAATTCAAATTACTGGAAATTATCTCTTGCCATTATTAGCATCCTCTACTTCAAACAACAGTAAATTAAATGTAATCATGTATACTCGATATACCTATTTTTATCTTCAGAGTGCTTATGATTTATTCTTTATGGTTCTGCGTGTTGACTTCTTAAATTTAATTCTGAGTACTGTGATCAGTTTGGCTTCAAGTGATCATGGCACAAACACTTGAACAGGGTAATAAGATTTTGCTGGCATAATTATCTAAGGGAGAAACTATGTGCTGTAGTGGAAATGTGGCAGATCTCTGAAATTTCGAATGAAGTAAATGCTAGAACGGTGGCAGTTTAATATGCAAACTTGTGCCAGGTTGACTGTTTTCCGTTTATGACTAATTGAGATTAAAGGGTTTTGTTTTGTTTTCCTTCCCACTTCTTCCCTTTATAGAAAGGCAGCAATGTGAATAGCGAGCAGAAGAGTCAGGCGCAGTCAGGTGCTTCCACTGACCACCCACCCCCTGTCACTAAAGCTGCGATGACGTTCCAGCGCTCTGACCCAGAACAGATCCACCAGAGCTTGCTGACTGCAATCCGCTCTGGAGAAGCTGCTGCCAAATTGAAAAGGGTGAGTTTTCATCACTGCATCCACAACAATGAACTCATGGTACTTCCTTCAAAATTACCATATTAATGCCTGACACTACAAGCAGTTAGCTTTGGCACAAAGTGCTGCCAGGAGGTCTCTAACAATGGAAAGGGAGGTGGGGAGGAGAGCTCAGTTTTTCAGAATAAAATGGTGAATGCATGTGCAAAGCTTTGTATGTCCATATTTTCAAAGAGTACAAATACAATCAGAAATCTTCCTGAAATGAATTAGAAATCTCTAAGTTATCAATTAGTTATCTCTTTCATAAAATCAGGGACATACTCAATTATTTGGTTTTGTTTGTGTGGTTTGAAGTGGTATGGTTTTAGACATACGCTAAGCAGCTTCACCCCAGACCTGAAGTAGCTGCAGTCTTTTGCAGGTAGATAGCACATAAGTTCTGAAGATCTTATTTTTCTGTTTATTAGGCTCTATCAGGTCCTTAATTCTTCTGAAATGTACTTCAAGCCTCCTGCTGCTGTTTAGTATTAGTGACATATTTCTCAATGTTTTGTCAACAGTCATAGCAGACTGTTCTTGACCCAGCATTAGTATTGTGCATTCTGCATAGAAGAATAATTTTCCATTGCAGAAGGTTAGAGAAATTCAGTAGTTCTTATTTCTCTTCCTTATCTCACTTGAAATTTGAAAGAAACAAATTGTGTGGGGTGGGTAGATGGGAGGGATTTTTTGGTTTTATGAAAGTCTGTGATTCCCTAGGTTCAAAATCTCTCAGTGGATGTTCAGAGACAAACAATCCATTCCATGCATGAGGTTTTGTTTTATTGTGGTATTGCAACAGACTAGTAGACCTCCTCTCGTTTCTGCACTCAGTAAGAAGATTCAGTTTCCTGGAAAGGTTACAAGTGTGCTTAAGTAGTTTTTGACTTCTAGTCAGTGAAAGTGGTACACGATACACCGCAGTATTACTTCTAACTAGATGTCAGTAACGGTAGCCACTTTACAAACAGGGTAAGATTAAGCAAATACTGTTTTGTTCAGAGTAACTTAGAGGTCAAATCTATGTGCTTTACTGAAAATATTGTTTGGATTTTGTACATATTTTTATTTAGGGAGGGGGTCCTTCTCCAATGCATAATTACATTCTGAATAATACTGAACTTTATTTTGCATGGTATGTGAACTTTGTTTTATGACTCTATGGGAAATACGCATAGGCATGGCTGTTGGCACAGTAGCTTATAGCTGTTTTAAAAAATGAAATTCATAATGTGCTTTTCAAAATTAAAGTAGTCTATTTCTACTAGAAAGAAAACAAAAGCTTGATTATATGGTTATTCATTCTTTTCCAATAGAAATGTTCTTAGGGTAAATTTGATGCCATATAGTCCTTATCCATCTAGGTACAAGAATGGCATGGGGAAATAGAGGGAGATGGTGATTGAAGCCCTTTTTCCCCTCCCTTTCTCATCTGTGGGTGGGAGATGTTCTTTCTTACTATAGTATCTGCTGAGGCTGGAGGTGAGGAGAGGGCTATACTTTTTAAGGAGAAATTATAATAATGAAGATGCTGTAAGTGTAAAGAAAAAAAAGGGCATTCTGCAACACAGAAATCTGAAACAGGCTTTAAAAAAACTCTGAAAAAACACAAAAAAATGCAGTGAAGAACCCACTGAAATTTTTCCAAACATAAAATCGTACATGCTGTTCTTTTCACTCTTACCCAGAGCACATATTCTGTGGTACAGGTATTTCTGACAGCAGAAAGAGAAGCTTTTTGGCCTATGGCAAATTTAATAAAAACGTGGTCTCATTTTATGTTTAACACAGAGAACTGTAGTAAGACAGATAAATTAAGCATTTTGTGTCAATAACTTAATAGCACTCAAAAGTGATTTCCAGTATTGAAAAGACTTTTTAAATGCATTCACCTCATAGCTTCCACTAGTGTGTGGCACTCGGTAAAAGGAGTGATAACCTGATCCACTTGAACTGTGAAAGAGGTTTGTCAGGTGCTTGCTTCTCTTTTTACTTCTTACCATTCTCTCCCTTCTTTCAGCTCTGTGAAGGAATCATAAAAAAAGGAAAAATATGCTGGCACCACAAGCCAAATTCTTTGACTTTTTCCCCTGTTTTATTTAATATGTAGTATGCAGTGCTGAGATCTGTGCCCTTTTGTGTCGCTGATCTTTTCTGTTCAGTAGGGCCCTCAGTAATTACGAACCTAAAGTGGGTCAAGTGATGTTTCTTTTTAACCAGAATACTTTCCTTGTGTTTAGTAAACTGTGTGCTGTGGTGTGTGAAGCTCCCCTGAAAATCAGAACTTTGCTGTCTATCCTAAAAGTTGTAGTTTGCACCTGATAAAAGAAACTTTACCATGGTATAAAGGAGCATTAGAAGAAGTTATTAGAAAGCAGCTCTATTCAGTATTTTTTAAAAAAGTGTTTGGTTCTGTGGTGGTTTTTTAAGAATTTCTTTGCAACCAGGTCTGGAGAAGGACTTAAAATTATGAGTGTTTTGAATAGTTTTATATGTGGAATTTTTAGGTAGGATAAAATATGCTTTTTAACATATTGTTTAACATACTGTTTTTTAAGTAATTTCTTGTATTTCCACTTCTGTGGTGTATGTGCTTTGTTCAGAAGTCACATAGGAGATCTTTCACGGTGATGAGAAAAATGCTAACTGAAGTAACAGTACTTCTGCTTCTTTGAGGTAATACTGTGTAACTTGCTACAGAGAGAAAAGTCTGAAAAGTTAGATTAATATTTCTCTTTTCTTTCCTCTTCCCCCCTCCCCCCCACTGCCTCCAGGTTGGTCCTCCATCCAGCACCATGTCTGTCAATGGAAGAGCCAGGCTTACTCATTTGTATTCCACAGAAGCAAAAGCTAATCACTAGATATTATACCAAATATCTTGCACTTTACTACTGCTTCATAGGCCAACTTAATACTAACTAAAAATTTTTTGAAAATGTAAATGCAACTATATGTTAATATATTTTTGTCACTTGTTATAGGAATTTCAAGCTGGGTCCTTTGATGCCTTGGAAAAATTATTAGAATATGTAAATTACGGTAATACTTTGCCTTTTTCTCTTTATAAAGCTGACTATGCTGCTAAAAGGTGTGAGAGAAGGTGCAGATGAGCTTTGCTTATGTTAGAATAAGAATCAAAAATTCTTGATTTTAGCCTTCAAGATTGAACTCTATGTAGCACTGTGCTGAAATTACAGATTTAAAGCAATCCAACAGTTTTAGATAATTAATTTTCAATTGTGTATTACTTTAACAGATTATATGAATTTAAATCTACCACATGCTGCCTCCATATTAGTTTAAATTAAATATGTAATTAGTAGAAAATCTTAATTATATGCAATACTTTGTTTCTCTTGAAAATATGGATGGTTTTGTTTCTTCAGCTAAGAGTAGCTGGGATGAGTTTTGTTTTTTGTTTGTTTTTTTTAAGTCTCCTTTAATTTTTCCTGGTAGCACACACATAAAAAATCAGGACATAAATTATTGGAAATTTTTGTACTACTTGAAAACTGTTCTTAACAGTAGCACTACATGACGCTTCTTATCTGCTCTTTGACTACCTGTATACAGTATTTACCTAGTACTTGGATAAGCAACACTTTTTGTGAACCAGATATATTTTAAAGTAGTCATCAGCATATAGTCACTTACTGATAAAATACAAATTCCAGATTTGATACTTAATGAAATAGAAGGATTTTTTTTCCACTGGAAGTATGACTAAATAATGAACTGCTTTGGACTTATTAATGTAAAATATTTTAATCTTAAAGCAGCACAATAACACACTTACAAAGCATTCTTGTGTCTGAGAGTGTCTATTTATAGATTAAGCATTAAATACCAAAATGGGAATATATCTGAAAAGAAAATGCTTCATGTTATATTTTATCTATTTTGCATTTCTTATCAAGGGCATACATTTTGGGGATGGGGTGGAAATATGATCATACTCATGACGAAATAGCTGGATTATGGATGTGTGCAGCAAGTGCTGGGGTATTTGCCATATTAAAATATTTTCTTGCTGGATTTGATTTAAATAAAAGTAATTGTATTTAGTTTCTATTCTTTAACAATATATTTATTTTGTACTTTAGAGACATTCTTTAACTTAGTTTTAGAAACTGATCTATATGTGCATTTCAAAGGGTTATTAATGGATTGCTGCCAGGTTTTTGTGCAATAACCTCAGAGAGGTCTCATTACTTTAAAAATGCAGAGTCAATTATTGATTACAAATAACAGTGTTAACTTAATGCTGAAACCCTTCAAGGAATGTTTTAGTAAGTAAAAATTCGTAAAGAGAGCTGATGATCATTTGTTCACTGCTGTTCTCTCATGTTTTCTCTTCTATATCATAGTCCCCTGTCAATGTGTGTTACCAGTTTCTTCTCCAACTTGTTCTTGCCTCCAATCAAGGGCTAATTCCAAGGATGGGGGCAACCCACATGGTAGTTCAAAAGAGGTGTTTCAGGGTCTGATTGCAAAAAGAACACTTCATTCTTCATGTGAAAAACGGTGAGGTAGTAGAAGTAGGGTTTTCTTCTAGTTTCTAACTGAGGCTTACATTCTAGATTTCACTGTGTCTTGAGGGACAGACTTGAAAATTGTAACTCTCCCGGGATTTCAGTGTCTGTGATCGTTGTGATATTTGAAGTCCATGTTTTCAGCATTCTTATTCAAAATGCTGATCTGTAAGTGCCATGGAGAGGTGGTACTGCAAAAGGAATCTCTTTGTACTTTGGGTGGGAGGGGGTTACGTGTTTTTGCTCAAACCTATGTATTCTCTGCCAAGGTGACTAAAGTTATTTCATCGGACTAATTTAATCTCTGTCTGTGGTAATACACGTCTGCATGATATTTTACTATTTCAACCAAATCGGTGGAGTCCAGTTATTCTGTTTTGGGGGAAAGATCAAATAACCTTGCTTTGTTGTTGTTTTCTTTGGTTTTGACTACAGAACTATACTAGTGTATATTCCTTAGTCCCATATGTTAAAAATATATTGCCCTTTTATGTAAACTTCTGAAGGCAAATATCATCTTATGTAACAGAGATCAAAACTAAAAACACTTTGCTTGAATTTTAGCATTTCTTGTCTTTGTAACTGAACTTGTGTGATAATTAACTGAAATGTCTACACACGATAGTGCCATGAAACTCTTCAATAGTATTTTCTGTTACTAGCTGGCAATATTGTTTAGCAGCACTTTCTCTTCCCCCCTTCTTCCAACATATATATGTAAGATATTTTTAAATCTTGTTACTGTATAACTAGAGACTCTTTTTTTTTTTTCTTATACTCTTGTATTAAATTCTACCAGAAAAACTCTTATTAATGAACTTGACATCTTTATTCACTGTTCAACAATGAAAACATTTCTGCTCAAGTAACAACTAAATGTTTCTAGCAACTGCAAGCCCATGTTAGACAGCAGTAAATTTTTGTTGGGGATGCCTTACATAAGGGAGAACAGACTGTTTTTTGGCCCAAGAATACTTGCAGTTTGGGCAACCTGAGCTACAGATGTCTTCCAAAAGAAGGCAACTAGTTATGCCATACCACTTACAATCTCCTTGCTGCTTTTGAACAGCAAGCAAAATGTTTAGGGAAGAAAAGTTAGGATATTGCAGTAAATGAATGTCAGTATCATTGTACAGACAACATATCAGGCCCTAATAAAGGTGTGCTATGACTTACTCTTGTGAGTTCTTTGAAGAAGCAGCAGCTACCCATGTAGCAAGTAGCACAGTGGGATCTTGGTCTGCCTCTGACTCCATGACATTATACATCAAGTAGGGCTAGAAAACAGAAGATAGTAAAAGCTATCTTGTTAGTAAATCATTATAGATTATATATATTTTTTTTTATTCTACAGAAGAATACAATTAAGACTATGAGTGTACCTGGAGAAGGGAACAGTTTTGCTGGGAGAGTATCGCCAGATAATATTTGGAAATATTGTTGTGACTGGAGGTCTTAAGGCCAAGGCAAGACACTTGCAGCTGAAAGATGTTAAACCACTGGATGTCTCCATTTTGGGGAAGTACATTTAGTAATCGGTACCCTAGTTTTGCCTAGCTACTTGTGATTTGTACCCTAATATATTGTAGTATACAACATGAAGCAAGAAAGGCATTAAAATGACAAGGATATGGAACAGGAGGCGTGGGATCACACATACTAGATAGAGGATGAGAATATAACATGAGAGCAGCTAATGGTGTTAATTTTAAGTTTGTACAGGTACCCGTTGCCAGCCAGAGCAAACAGTCTCAGTTAGAGCTGCTTAGAATCCTCTTTTAACGCACAGTTGCAAGGAAGGTTGAAAGAATTCTGTTAAGTAGAAACAAAGAAAAGATGCTGTTGAGCAGCTGGGTGTACATCTTTTAATGGCTGAACTTGATGATCTTTAAGGTCTTCTCCAACCATAACGATTCTATGTAATGCTTGGCCAGAGTGTATCTTCGAGGTGTTGGACAACTACAACTAGTTAGAAGAGTAACTGTAAATGACTGAGTTGATGGGTTGGTAGCCAAGCAAATAGAGCTCTCTGCAGAAGGGAAAATGTGCCTTGATTGTCTATGTTCATGTTAACAGAATGTGAGGCTGCAGTCAAAATAATGTGTTTGGACCAAAGCTGCCATCTTCACAGGCATGACAACTGTTCCTGGGTGCTGTGAATGGTCTGAGGTTCTGAAGCTGCAGTGTTCTGTTCAGCTTGGCTGCCGGCTGGTTAGCTGAGTCTGAAACATCACTTGTTAGAGATGGATTTCTTACGAAGTCTGTTTCGATGATTAAGCAAAGCAGTAGCAATATCAATGGAAATGCTTCACAGCTTTTAATTGTAAAGGATGCTTTCTATGTGGATTATTTTATACAGTCCCATTGAATATCAGGTAAGGCAAGTTGTTGTTTTTTTTTCTTTAAAATTTCTGATTTGGTAGCTTTGTGAGAGGGAAGGTGTCCTTGTTAAAATGACATTAAATTTGCAAATAATGGAACACTGCACTATAAAAAAATACTTCAGTTTGTTTTATCTTCCTTGTTAGAACTATGTGGCATGGTAACTAGCACAGAAACTGTGTCAAGAATCTATCACAATGTATTGTATATAAAGTTGCATTATTTTTTGTCAGCTGTTCCTGCTTATTAACGTAAGCACTTAGCACCTTGACATTTTTGGTGTGTATATGTTTTCAAGGAGCAGATTCGGAAGAGATGTAGAGTTTTCTCTTTTTAGCTGTATTAAACCTCACATTCACATAGCAGTACCTAACAGCTATGTGTTGAAGTGAAGAAGGAGTGGATGAATGCTTCCCATCACACTGGAAAGACCACTAAAGTGGTCTTAGTTATTCCTAAATTATTCAAGACACTTTAAAGAATAAAAGCAATGGGAGGGGGAGGAAGAGGGAATGAGGTAGATAAAAAGGAGTTCTGTTTTTCTTGATCTGAAGAGTCACCACTTCTGTGAGGACAGGCAGAAGGATATTTCTAGTCCTCCCCTGTTTAATGCACAAAGGAGTAATCTTTAACAGACAAAGTATCAGTTGAGGAATAACTTTACTTGCTTCCCAGTGGAAGATGTTGAGTGAACTTGGCATTCATCACTGTCTTACAATAGGAGGTGCTGCTTCTCCATCTATGTTTCCCATTTCATATTTTCTTCTTTTGGCTTCAGGGTTCTACAAATACTGTGCCATTTTGGAATGTGTGGGTACAAGCCAGAAATTAAAAGCTTAACTCTGAAAGCCTGATAACTTGTGATCCCCATTCATGCAATCAGTACAATGATGAAAATGCAGTCCTGTGCAGGACAGGCATTGTTCTGCATTTGCTAATATAGCAATGAAAGAAAAATCTCTTAGCTG